TTGTAAATTGTCCGTAGGTGTGAATGTGAGTGTGCTTGGTTGTCTGTCTCTAAGTGTAGCCCTGTGATAGACTGGTTACCTGTCCAGGTGAACCTACCTTCACCCTGAGTCAGCTGGGATAGGCTCCACCCCCATGACCCTGGTGAGGATTAAGGTGTAGAGATGATGGATGGATTCTGGAGGGCTGTGTGTGTGGTGAAATATTAATCTGACCACCACACGCACTGAAATACTGAAATAATTTAACCCACTTGAGAAAAAACAGGAGCCAATCAGAGCATTATTTACCTGATTCACCTGTCCTCAAAATGCCGTTTCATTCAATGGACACATTATATGAACTGCAAGTGTGGCTCCAGTACTTGTGCTGAACTGGACGATCTCTAGTAGCTGCAATCAAGCTTTCAGCAATCACTTCCTCCAGGAAAGTCACTCTTCTTCAGCAGGAACTGGTCTTTCTAGTGAGTTTAAATGCTATCAGCACTTGCTAACTCAGGAAAAGTTCCCTGGTTGTTCCCTTAAGGTTGCAAGCTGCGAGAAAGCTTTTCAGCTCACACCTTCCATGTCCACCTAGTTTGGTGTCAGTGGGGGCTCAAAAGTCGAGGCTCTGGGTGAATGATTGTGAGATTGAGGATTTAAGTCCCCGTGCTGCCAGACTGTCACTGTTGGGCCCTTGAGCAAGGCCTTAACCCTTTCTGTTCCATGGCTGAGCCTGCGCTCTAACCAGGGAGTGTCAAGGCGCTGTCATGTGTCTGGAACAAACAAAGGCTTCTTCTCTAGTAAACATGTAAACATGGTTAACATGGACGTGCATTCGACTGTAGTGTCCTACAGATGCTGACTGAGCTCTTCTTCTTTGTGTGTTTTTAGGCCTGGCAGCTTCTGGGAATGACTCAGGCTGAGAACGAGAACGAGCAGGCCGCCATTGTTTCGCTGCAGAGGTCAGAAAATAACGTACCATCCTGCAGTATACCGAGTCTATACTCTATCCTGTACTATCCTCACTCTCCTTCTAGTAGCTCCTTCAGAGGAGTCGTAGGAGTCTTGGTGGTCTCCTTCACTAGTCTCCTTCTTGCTCCAGTCTCTGATGACGTCCTGCTCTAGTCAGATCTACTCATGGTCCATAGTCCTTCCATGTCTTATTGATGGATCTAACTGGACTCCAGAGATATTCAGTAACCTGGAGATGTTCTTGTATCGTCCTCTGACTGATGCTTCTCAACAACCTTTCCCAGAGTTCTTGGAGGGTTCTTCAGTCTTCATGGTAGTTCTGATCCACCAAGGGAGGCGAATGCTTTTTTAGACTATGTCCAGCAGAGCTCTGCATCACTCTTTAACTCTTTTTGACAGAATGTCTTATAATTAGGGAAACAAACCTCTTCATTAAGTCATAAAGTGGTTCATTCATTAGTGTTACGCTGGGACATAGTGTTCATGTGTTCACCTGTTGCAGGTGTTTGGAGCTCCGCCCAAACAACCTGCCAGCTCTCACAGCGCTCGCAGTCAGCTTCACCAACAGCGGCATGCAGCGGGAGGCGTGCGACGCCCTGCGCCGCTGGATCAGCCACAACCCTCGGTACAGGCACCTGGTGCAGGAGGGCCGGAGCCCGCTGCAGGGTTCCCCGCTGCAGGGTTCCCCACTGCAGGGTTCCCCACTGCACGGTTCCCCGCTGCAGGGTTCCCCGCTGCAGTGCTCCCCGTCCACACCACGCAGAGGCCGCCACATCTCCACCCCGGCCAGGTACCAACACCTGAACACACAACATCAGTCTGATGTGATGTCTTCTGTCAGTACTACAGTACCCATGATCCTCAGTGGCTGCTGCTGTGCCGTCAGAACATGTGATTTCAATTTCTAAATTTCTCCGTCAGTCAGATCAAAAAGCTCCTGAACCTGAAGCTTTCAGACTGGATCATACTCACATCAGTGCCGTCTTGGATTTTGTGGTTGACTTTTTTACTTTAACCTTCTGAATCCCAAACCAGTCAGCACGGCTGCTTCTCCACGACCGACCCAGCTGAGAAAAGGACCAAAAACTGTCCAGAAAGACAGAAACGTGTCCAGAAGACTTGTCAGATTTTGTCCAAGACGAGTAGCAATTTACGCAAAATGACGAAACCAAATTTTCCAAAATACAAAAAGATGAATTGTCTGTATTGATGAATAATTGTTGGAAATGACTAAAACGTAGCTGGAGTCAATCAGAACCACTCAGAGGAGAAGATGAGAGCAACATGACATCACTAGAACTGATCCTTCAGGTGGCTGTGTGTATATTTATGGTCCAGCAGATTCTGTCATGTTTCCAGAAGAACTTTCATAAATCAATGACAGAACCAGAATCCAGGATTTTTTTGTTTCTGTGACAAAGATTCATGTTTGAATGATTCACAGAAACCTCAGAGTTCTAGGATAAGAAACATGACATGGTCTTCACAAGTGTGTGTGTGTGTGTGTGTGTGTG